TCCAATCATGGCAGCATAATATAACAGCAATCTAACTCAGCTCCGGCCTCCTGCCGCCTGAGGTCTCAACATTACCTGACCCTGAAATAAGCATTCCCCAAACGTGGGTGAGATCTCTAAACTAGAAATCTCAGTAAGACAAGGGGTCCTCAAGGATCTTCCACCCCAAGCTCACTTACATGTGCAATATAAGTTCAAAAGCATTTATATCATTATTAGTTCCAAAATTATGTAGTGCAACAGATATCTATGACATGTGTGTAATCACTATCTACTGGCCAGAGAAATGTAGGAATACGTCTATTCCCTACATGTAGTACAAGGAACACCGCTTGCACCTCACCCACAGCCTCACCCTCTTGTATGTTCTACATACTCAGGCTTACCGTATAGGTGGAACACCTCCATGCATATCAACAAGGCACTAACATACAATAGCTCAACAGCATTTCCAAAATATCAAAAGCATGTAACACAACATGCATATACCATATCCCCATGGGACATGGTGGAACCAAAACATGGCTAAACCGAGGACACGAAAGCTTACCTCTAAGCTAGCTATCCAATGCCACAAGCTAAAAGTCCAATCACAGCAGATCACAATCTGATATGGACTAAATATAAATCAATAAACATGTACCACATGCATACAAATTAAAGACAACGGCTTTTCATTACGTTTTCAAATCTTAAAGCTTCTAACAAAGCTACAAGCCCTCAATCCCATGATTCTGGCTTAGTCCATTAAATACAGAAGTTCAACTTCATCAAACTAGGGTCCACAAACCCCCAATAGCCTACTGTACCCACAACACAGCTACTGTTCTGCGAAATCCCAGAATATCCGAATATTCCTCGGGACCATATCCAGATATGCAATATCCGGATATCTCACTGTCCATATCCGGATATGCAATATCCGGATATACAGATTCACATATCCGGATATCCCAAAACCACATATCCGGATATCCAATATCCAGATATCTGTTCGACAAATATCCGGATAATTCACGACAGAATGCAGTTTCTGCATTTTCATGAAGATATCCCTTAAAGGCTCCCTTTTTACCGATTTTAAACACCTAATCATGCATTTCTAGGCGTGTTCAACATTACCCAACGACAAGTTATCATCTTTTAGTCATTAGATGCATCAAGGTACCATTTTTAAGCCTTAAAACTCAAGTTAAAGGTTGGTACAACATACCAAGGTTCAAAACTTAGAATGGAGATGCTCTTGGAGCTTAACACAACTCCTCAAGTCTGACTCAAGGAAGATGCACGAAAATGGCTTCACAAAGGTTGGTTCTTTAACACAAAGGTCATCACTTGGACCTCCAAAAACCAAAACCAAGCTTCTCTAAACCCAAAACCAACAAGTCAGCAACCAAACCTCCCTCACACAAACTTCACAACTCAGAAACAACACCACAAACCCCTTCCCAAAGGTGACTCTCCCTCACACAAGTGTTTAAGAAGAAGAAACCACAAAGAACAAGGAAGAAATGTCTCCTAGACTCTCAAGGAAGAAGAACACAGCAATGGAACAATGCCAAGGTGCACTCAGCCACCAAGTCACGTATAGAATTCTGATCCTAGGGTTTTGTGCCCATAATGTGAGTATTTATAGCCCAAACACACTTAAACACACAGTATTAACTTTAATTGCTACGCTTAGCATTTCAATCCCAAACTTTGGATTATGAAACTACATAATTTTATAAGATTTATCATATTTTTCTTATATTTTTCTGAGCACCTTTCCGGTACGCGTTTTTCAAAGCTAGTACCGGTTTCTAGCACCAGTTCTCATTATTTGGACTTGAAACTCGTTTTACAAGTCCTACATATTATTCTTGTAATTATCATGCACTTACATTAATTTTCCGGGATACTTTTTCGGTACGCATTTATACCGACTAGCAGAACCGGTATCTGCACTTTTCTCCCGAAAAGCGACTTTCAGCATTCTTAATCACTTACCATAATTATTAAAGCCTTTTAATAATTATTAGGGTCAATTATGGAATTATTTCCTAATTTTGCATAATTAATTAATTAAATACCTTAATTAACGGTGCAGGTTCTTACACATGTCATAATCTATTTTGGTGAGACATAATCCTTATCACCAACTTTAGAAATGTATTGATTTATGAATTGATTGAACCTTGCCCATGCTAGGTTAATCTAGCTTGGAGAAAGGAGGAACCAAAAGGAAGTAGAATACTTGTTTGGTGACCTTGACAGGACAAGGTAAGTAATGATACTTAAACCTCATGATTTTGCTATGGTTGACGTGTGATATACTTGTATGATTTTGTGTGATGGAAATGACGAAGTAAAGTGCACAAAATCTTGTTATCCAATGGTGCATGATTCAGCCATTTGGACTATGAAAGGATAATGCATTGCATATGTATGAAATGATGCAGCATTGGATTGTTTGTTGAAAGTGCTGCACTTATATGCATCATCTCATGGTACATTTCAATATACAAGCTTCGATTACAGGACTATGAATATGGATTGAATTCATGATTGATTGAGCATGCATTATATAGTACCCAGTACTGGGGTATGGAACCTGGCTCAGTTCGCATAGGAACCTGAAGAAAGGGAGCCATGGAATTATATATACAAAGGGAGCCATGGATTCTTCTTTGGGGAGTTTTATTAAAGGTACTAATAAGTACACTTATAATGATGGTGTTATATACACAAATTAAAGCATAGAATTTCCTTGATATATGGATTAAGTACCGTTGCTTGTTTCTCACCCCATTTAGGGCTGTAATTTAAATTGCAGGTAAAAAAAAGGAAGCCCACCTATGAATACTAAAGGGAGTTAAAGAATTGGAACTTGATTTTGTGATGCCAAAATGGGGACTATTTTGGAATGAAGTGTGATGGTTGTAATATCAGTTGTTCATCTGTATGACTTGTTGTAGAACCATTGTACTTTTTATTTGAAGCTTGTAATGCTTGAGGGTTTATGACTGTATGAGTATTCCAGATTGAGAACAGGTCTAATTTGTTGTGTTTCCATGTAATGAGAACTTGGTATAAGATGCTATTTGATGATGGAGTGTGATGTTTGATTTCTTAAGGATTTGGGAGTTACGTAGTTGTCTAAAAGTGAAGTCACCGAATGATTGTAGCCTAAATAGAAAATGGACATTCATGGGTGTAGGTTCAGGTTGAATTAGAACAAAGGAAAATATTATAGCAAGAAACCAAAACTTAGACACCATTTATACTTTATTCAACCATAATTTTATTTGACACTCAATTTTGTCCGCCATATTCAAAAATTTATTTCTTGAGCTATAGGGCTCCAATTGGGGCAATTTATATATCATCTCAAAGCTATAGACATATATTTTCTGCCATAAAATTTTAAGGTCATTTGACAAAGACTTCGAATTTATATGATTTTTAAAAGATAGATGATTTTCCAAAATTTTAATTAAATCTGTTTCGGATTTTCTTGAAAATTTTGTTAGCTGTTAATTGAAAACATTTTGCTATGCGCTCCAATACTATTAGGACATCCCCTGAACGCGTACGGGTAAGGATGTAACACTATTGTTGACTTATTAAAGGGGAGAAGCCTAGCATAGTTGTGATTATATTTTTAGGTGGCCGGAAACTTGGTATTGTGATCATATTATATTTACAGGCTCGCACCCATGATTGATGTGTTGTATTCTGTCTGAGCATACTCCCACTCGAATACATATATTATTTTCAGATAAAGGCATGGCAATAACTTTCTGAGTCCATTCATCTGATTGATTGAAAAAGTCTTATTGCTTCCTAGTGGCGAGATTGACACTTTGTTCTTATAGGCAAAAGCTTAAATAATAAGTTGTTATTATGTGCTTTGAACGCTTATTATGTTCTAGAGTTGTTCCGTTAGTTCTACAAGCAGGTTGTGTTTTAACTTAATAAACCTTATATATGTTGTGATTTTAGTTATTATTGTTAAATATATCGTTGTGATAGTTAGGCTTGCTATGATATTTGATAATAATTTGTGTGCCAGTCATAACTAGAAATTGAATTTCGTGGCATTCTTATTATTGATTTGTAATGTTAGTAATTTTGTCCACTTGATGGAAATAATTTTAGTGATTTGGGAGATCTGCCCAGGGTTTGAGAGAAAATGTATTTTGAGTTAAAGATTTGCCCTCTTTTAATTTCCATATACTCAAGTCTCTCCATTTTAGAACGTAAGTATAGAATAAGCCATAGTCAAGATTACAAAAATGCATCCTAAGCATAAGAATTAACATGGAATTCCAAAGTTAATTCAACATAAGAATTGGCGCTTTCTTTGCCATTCGCTTGCTTGTAAGCTTTGTAACAAGAAATGAAGCTTGTCATTTTTGACAAAGTTCACTACTCATCAACTCAGATAATTAGCAAGTCATGGATATCTCCAATTTAATCACATGAAAGTTCCAATCAGATCCTGGAATTAATCTATGGGCACAAAATCTTCATAACCCGAAAATTTCTTCCTAGCAATAATTAATGGTTCAAGTGATAAGGAGTTGGATCCCCTTGGGAAGGGAGAAAATGATCTTGAGAAAGCCGTCTTTTATAATAGATCCATCAATACTTGAATCGGATTAGTCAAGTAATCAATGAACTGGTGGATATATTTAAAAAAGAAAAAAATCATTTTTCGCAAGTGCGGGGCCAACCAGTAAAATTAATAGGACAGTAGTACAACAAACCGCATGTATTATTAATTATTAAGAAAATAGATACATCTCTGTTTTCTACTCAATTTATTTCTTACGTTTCATCAACATCTTATGCCTATTTCATTCAAACTCTGTAACATTCATCCACCAAGACGCTGATAAGATTGATTACACAAACATAGCACTAGATAGGACAATCACCAAATCAAACTTACAACTTCTGCCATACTTATCATAGGAACAAGATAATAACTGAATTAACATCACAATATGTATGTCTCAAATACCACAATATGCTTTGATCGGAGAAGCAGATTTTATGGCTTCTTCGGTGATAAAGAAATGGAGGTATCCATAATGGTCAAATGGTTTATAACGTAGAGGGTGCTCCTCATCAACTAGCTCCTCCGGTGGTTCCATTATCTTGCCAGCATATGAAAGTAGTCCCATTGAGTATCTCTCTATCTTCGAATTTATGAAGACTCTGTGTTCACAAGCGGGTATCCTGTCATTACTCCAAACCTGTATCATGAAGTTTGAAGTTTTGCTTTTACATACAAAATCACGATCAACTTACATTGGTATAAGTCTAAAAAGTCTAGTACTCAATTTTAGCCGTTGAGTTACTTACATCTAAAGACGGTAATTTTTTGAACGAAAATCAACCTACACAAACTCAATCTTAGCTATTGAGTCTCATTGCATATCTAAAAACTCATTTGACTATTATATTAGGATAGATAAATATAAGTGGGATCAATAACTGAGATTGTGTGGAACACTTACATCCGTGTAGAAGTAGAATGCTTTAATCCTTATATTACAAAACTGTCTGCTGTCTATATTTTGGTTTAAATAAAAATTTATATGCCAGGTTTCACATAATTTTAGTTTCTGAGACACTAGGGATCTGTTATGAGACATGAAATGGATTTTTTGACATATTTCACAATTGTAATAATTAAATTTCTCCTAGATGTTAATACAAATTACACTAAGACTTTTCTAGTTTCACAAAATTAAAATTGACTTTCTTATTTTGTGTATTAGTCATACAATTCGACACTCTTGATTTTTAAAAATTACGCATATCCTTCTTTCTCCTATGTAATTATAGAGCATACACAAAAGTCCGGATAACTTATAAACAAGAGAGTGAGAGGCTGGTATAATTTTTCAAACAAGAAAGTGTCAGTGTAATTAATACTATCGTAAGAGGTCAATTTTAATTTTCCTTTTACCATAAGATAGAACAAATGTTACTCACCTTCATTGCATCACCAGCCATAACCAAATACAAGGAGGGTGAAACACCCACCTCAAACCATTCCCCATCCTTCAATTTGGCTTCCAAGCCTTCAACCTTCTGATTCAATATAGTAAAGAAGGTTTTATCCGAATGAGGAATCACCCCTAAGTTACTTTCACCCACTTGGGGTATTTTGTATTTGTACCCTCTGAGCACATAATCAGCTGATTCAAGTGAAGACTCAAATTTCTTCCTCTCCAGTCCATAGCTCTCAAATAGCATTCTCTTCGCAATATGGTCCAATTCTACTAGTTGCTTTGCATAGGAATTGACACTTTCACTATTCACATAAGAAAAATCATAGGTATACACGGTCAATATACATAGGGGCATGTTATAAGAATTCTTACATCAATTCTTATCTATTTATTTATTTGCATATAATAGATTACGTATCTAATAAATTAGAGTCATTTAAATATAAAAAAAATTAATGGCCAAGATTGATAATAAAACTTACATCGGTATAAAATGATCCTGCATATATATAATAAGAACAAAAATCACTTTCCACTAAACCCCGGCAAGTACGGGTGAGGTGAGGGCAATTTTTATATATAGTCTTACTTTGCATATTTGTAAAAAGACTGTTTTCTAGATTCGAATCGGTGACCTTTCAGTCACATAAGAGTACTTTTATCACTCCTCTAGGCTCGTTCTATTTTCTCAGTGATTAGTATTCAGGATTTGGTATAGTTAATTACCAGAAATGATCATTTCCTTCTGGCCACATAATGTAAGTGAATTTCTGACAATCCTCTATGTTCAGTGGATTCATGATACCCACAGATTCATATAAAGGAACCTCAGATCGTGGCGGAGCGTAACTAAATATTGGCTTTTCGGTGGTCTTCTTCCCTTTTGTTTCAGTTGAGAGGTCAAATAATTTTTCCATTGCTGAATAAACAGAGTTGTAAATCTCTGAATCAACCTTATCATAGAATGCTAGGAAACACCCATGATCTTCAAGTGCACTACGCACTAATTGACAAGATGAAACCCAAGTATCAGTACCAGGCTTCAGATTTTCGCTAGTGAAGTCTATAAGTGGTAGCTGAGACTGGTTTTGTGTTCCCATGGTTTTGTTCTTGATGTTAGATGTATGCTACCAAGAGCCCGGTTGATTCATATATATAACCATAAGAATTTTCTAGAAAATATTTGTTTATTAGCCCAGTAGTGGAGCCAGGAGGAACGAGAGGTGCCCTCCAAGTTTAGACAAATTTTTTAAATTTGAATATTATTTTTTATTTTTTATCATACAATTAATGAGAATTGTTTTGGAAACAGGAACTTATAAAAATCTTTAATTATGAATATTATATATCTTTTATACTTTTTTTATATTATTCATCAATTTACGTAGGCAGCAAAACTCTATATGAATAATTTCTTATGAGTTTATCCACGTGCTTGGTAGTATATATCTTTCTTTCAAACATCTTATAAAATTTGCTCGCTTCATTATTTGTTTTAAAAAATATATAACTCAACCAAATATATTTTTAAAACCAATAAGGGCTCAATGTCAAACATCCACTTATTGGTATCTTATTGGTATCCTATGATATGACATGTCCGTTTTTACATTTGTTTTTTCTTTAAATATTTCATTCACTATTCTTTTTTTGAATAGAGAGGAAAAGTAAAACTACATATTACATAAACGGAGGCTAGTAATGCCTATAGAATCTCTAGCTAACAGAGAGCGGCACCCTAACGAGGGGTGAACAAAAATATGAGTGTCCCAATCATGGAACTGATGAGCAAATGAGGCTAACATGCTAGTCAGCTATGATATTACCCTCTATATATGTGTGAGAGATGATGATGTTCCAATCTTCATGCAGCTGATTTCGAATCCTGTTGACGATGGAATGAAGAGGATGGTTCTCGTGGCACCCTTTATTGATAAGATTGACAGCCACCAAGGAGTCTCCCTCTATGCAGACGTTGTGAAGACCTGCTCTTTTAGCTTGTTCAATGCCTTCCAAGAAACCTCTAAGTTCTACAGTTAAGGAGGTGCCATGACCCAGCTTGCCACAGGATCCCAGAACCCACTTCCCCGCTTCGTCCCTGATGACTCCACCAAAAGTCGAGTTCTTCCCTGGCTGGACACAGGAGCCATCAACATTTACTTTAGTGCAGCCATGATTCGGGTGTTTCCAGCAGATGTGTTGCACCGTCCTCTGAGGATGAGTAAGGCCATTTGACCAGAGAAGATTTTGGGCATTTAAGATATGAGAGACATGGTTCTTGATGGCAGAGGTAGTTTCTCCCAGTTGAGTGAGATTGTCCTAAAAAATTAAGGTATTCCTTGCCTTCCAAATGTGCCAGCAAGCAACTCCAAAAATGAGATGCCAAATGTGATCTTTGTGAGACTTGACAGGAATGGTGATGTTCTTATCCAACCAAAGCTGGATAGGTTGATTGAAAAAGGAGTATTGTAACCTGTTATGCCCCAAGCTGGACCAAACAGATGCACTCCAGTCACAATCTCGCAGCAGGTGGATTGTAGTTTCTTCATGTAGGTGGCATCTATGGCACATCGGTGAATCTGTAAGGTTATTAACCACTCTCCTAATAGCTGGATAGGCCCCCCACCAGGAAATAGGTCAATGGAGAACTCTGTCTCCCTCTGTGGCGGAAACTCAGGAATCTCCTCGGGAAACACCTCGAGGAATTCCCTCACCACAAGAATGTCGGTAATATCCTCCTGTGTCCCACTCACCAAACCTTCCAACATGACATAACCATATGCCCCTGCTCTCAAGGCTCTCATAGCCTGCAGCACAGAAATATAAGGCGAGGAACTGGCTATGGAATCACTCGGAGACATCACCACTTTCTTAGCACAACAATCATTCATCACACAATTCTTGGACAACAAGTCCTTGCCAAGGATGATCTCCAAATTAGCCATCGGTAATCCTATCAGATCTACCGAGTAGTCACGGCCATCCCACCGAAACACGACATCACGATGTACAACGGAGGTATCACACTTTTCTCCGGTGTTGGTAGTCACCCGTAACGGTGGACAAATCACAGAAATAGGCAAGTCAAGCCCTACAATAATCGGGGTCGCGATGAAATAATGTGTAGTCCCAGAATCAAACAATACATCAACAGCAGAACCACAATGGAAATAGTACCTCTCACAAGGTTTGGATCCCTGTCCGATTGCTGCCGATCCAAGGTATACACTCAGCCAGTGGCTGGTGGCACGACAGATGCCGCTATAGGTACGGTAGGAATCATCTGCAATGGAACCGCCTGAACCGCTGCAGCTCTAGCAGCTGAAGAAGGACAATCTTTGGCATAGTGGCCCTCCTTGCCACAACGAAATCAAATAACTTGGCCGGTAGCACACGGCCCCACATGGAATCTCCCACATCCAGTACACCTAGGAGTAGGAGGTCTAGCTACACTCCCCTGAGCCGAAGTTTTCTTGAACTGATTTGGCGCCTGCCTAACAGCTAACTGCTTCCCATTTCCTTTCCCTCCAAACTTCTTGTCCCTACAAGAAGTGGAACTACCAGTTCCCTTTACATCAGATATCTTGGCCTTTTTGGCCTTGCTCACCACATACACCTCCTCTATGTCATGACACTGCTGAATCAAAGTGCCAAAATCTCTAGATGCAGCTCCGGAAATCCTATCTGAAATCTTCTCATTAAGTCCCCGACGGAACTTAGAAGCCAAGAATGCTGGTGTAGGCATAGCAATCCTGAAGTGTTCAAATTTGGCCAGTTCATTGAACTTAGCCAAGTACTCATCAACTGTCATCAAGCCTTGCACCAACCGCTCGAACTCTCCTTACTTTCTCTCCTGCGTATCATACGGGAAGTACCTCCCCAGAAATAACTCCGCAAAGAATGGCCATGCGATAACATGACCCTGCATCTCATAAATCTTAGAGTTGTTCATCCACCACTCATGAGCATCCCCCTCCAGTACATACGTAGCAAACATCAACTTCTGGGGATCGGTACATTGCATCACCCTGAATATCTTGTCCAGAGACTGAAGTCATCTCGCGAAAAACTATAGGATCATAGGATCCATCAAAAGAAGGCGGCTTATGCTTACGGAAAGCATTCAGCCGACGCTCAATGGTCTCACGATCCTCTATGGGTTCAAGGTAAGGCTGCATAAATCCTGTGAGGTGACTCACGCCCTCCATATGACTCTGAGTATCGTCCTCAAGAGCATGTGCCCCACCTCCTCCATTCCCATCTTGGTGACTGGGTGGAGGTGGTGGCGGTGGTGGCGGAGGATGCTGGCCACCAGCATTACCAGTCCTCATCTCCTCCAATATAACCCTCATCATGGTCATGTTCGCCAAAAGATTTTCCTCAAGCACATCCTCTGTGGCTTTCCGGTTCGCCTCTCTCACGACGTCTAACATCGCCTGGTTGGCCACTCTAATGGCCTTCTGGTCGGCTTGTCGAGCCGCCTGCATCTCAGCCAATGGAGCCAGGACTGGGTCAGGCTGACCCTCTCTCGTCTCTCAGTTCCTCCGAGGTAGTACTATGGCTCTACACAAGTTACACAAAGAATGAGTTGATCAGACCCACACAATGTGGTCACTCATGCATCATCATAGTAAAACCCAAAAGAAACTCACAAGACAAAACACACAGTAAAGCATCCTAAGTTATTGCAATACATACAGGCTTTTCCCCTAGAAAGTGCTCTGATATCATAAAATGTATCACCCCGTGTGCACTTGGCGTATTAAACATACAGATGGCAGTAGCGCAGCTAAATAAATGCAGAAGCTAGCTTTTTCTTTTCAATTATGACGTCAGCATTATTAACCAAGTTGATTACTTATTCCTTTTTCAAAATATTGCTTGTATGTAAATTGCAATAAAGAACTAACTGAATAACCACACGATATAAATGTGTATCTAGTCACGGAACTACAACACGTAGACCGGACAATATCTTAATACATTATACAACTCAAAACTTAATAAACATAACATAGTCAATGTGGAATGGACAACCCCCATGCTCACCAAATAAGGCAACATAGCACAATCAATGTCTCAAAACAAATAACCATATACTGATATAAAAGCATAATAAAGTCCAACATGTCAGCACAACAACATGCATAGTCAACTCAACTCTGGCCTCTTGCAGCTAGAGATATCAACCCCCGAGGTACCTGTAGCTGAAAATGTGCCCCAACACGGGATAAGATCTCTAAAAAGAAATCTCAGTAAGACAAGGGGTCCTCAAGGATCTCTCCACCCAAGCTCACTTATATGTGCAATATAAGTTCGAAAATAGCATAATAATATCATTTCCAAAATCTATGCAATGCAACATATATCCATGTCATGTGAGTAATAATCCTACTGGCCAGAGAATAAACATGTAGGGATTACATATGTCTACAACCTACAGTACAAGGAACACCGCTTGTACCTCACACACAGATTCACCATCTTGTATGTCTCCACATACTTAGGCTTACCGTCTAGGTAGTACACCACATACATATCATGAGACACTTGCACTTAACAGCTCAAAAGCATTTCTAATATTCATCACATAATTTCACAAAACACATCATGCATATAAACCATCCCTCCATGAGGTATGGTGGAACCAATAATGGGAAAAACCGAGGACACGAAAACTTACCTCTTAAGCAATCAATCCCAAGTCAAGAGTCCACAACAGCCCAAGGTCCACAAACAACACAATTACAATCTGTTTAGACCAGAAACATAATCAATATTCATACTCTAAAGGTTCATTTCATTATGACAACATTTCCTTTTACGTTTAGTGCTCTTTAGGCTTCTCCCAAAGCCATAAGCCTTAATCTAAGTGATTCTGACTTAGTTCACTTATTACAGAGGTTCAACTTAACCAATCATGGGCCCATAAATCAACCCCACGCTTCTGTTTGGACAGAATAGGTCCATCCACGAAATTTCCTAGAATATCCGGATATTTCACGCGCTTTTATCCGGATATCACCAACCCCATATCTGGATATCAATATCCGGATATCACCAACCCCATATCCGGATATCAATATCCGGATATTTCGCG